AATGTTAAATTTCTAGGCAGACATGATGGTGTTGTCTGGGTTCCAGTGAACAACACTGTGAGCTGATGTCAATGGCGATTATGTCTGCTTTTGGCTTATTGTTGAAGACCCACCTCTGCTGTGTCAGGACCTCGGACATGTGACACCCCAACTCCATGCTGCATGAAAATCTCTCACAGGCCGGGAGCCTCCAGCGAAGCATCAGGCTACTCCCAGCACGCCCAGTTGGAACCAGCAGGAAATGATGGTCGGCCACAGGCACTCAGACCAGATTATGAATGTTTATCGGCAGGAACGTGGCTCCCTTTCCATTGGATGGAATGATGAGCGCACATCTGTTTCTTGATAAGGTGGGGGCCGGCTTGGTGTTTGGTCTAGAAGGTGGATAAAGATTACTTGGCCTGCAGGCCGCAGGGATGTCTGCTTTCTTTCCTTCCTGTCTGTACCTAAGTGTATCTCCTTTATTCACCTCACAAACTGTTTTTAAACTGCATCATGCTGAACTCTCTGTATATGTTTGCCTGACAACAAATGGGTCTGGGCTAGGGAGGGAGAGTGTAGGGAAAAATACATCTTTATTATGAGAGAAATGAGAAAATACTCTCGCTGTTTAGAATAACCCTAGTGTAAATAAGCCCAGTTATACTAAGGACAAAATTTGAGACACTTTTCATTTGTTTTCATAACTACCAAAATAAAAATAATAATGGGAATTTAAAACTACTTTTAAAAAATTCTATGATAAAAAAGTATTTTTTATTCTCTCACCTATATCTGTCTTCTCTGATATTATAAAGTTTAAAAATGTTCTGATTCTCCTGGACTCAAATTCTTTTTGCTTAACAACTTACTTCTAACCTTAATATCCTAAAACCAAGTGGAGCTGTTCCCTCTTAGAATATTTGCATGTAAGGAATAAAAATCCATATAAGTGTATTGAAATTTATTTATGTTATGTTTACAACTTTATTTTTTAGAAAATACATTTAGTATAAGGACTTTTTTAAAAGTAAAACTTAAGGGCCGGCCCGGTGGCGCACTGCTACAGTGCACCGCTTGGGAGCGCGGTGGCGCTCTCGCTGAGGGTTCGGATCCCACATACAGACCGGTTCCCGCTCACTGGCTGAGCGCGGGGCGGGCGCAGCACTGAGGGTTGCGATCCCGTTGCCAGTCCCGGTCCGGTACGGGCGCGACACTGAGGGTTGCAGTCCGTTGCCGGACAAGAAAAAAGACAAAAAGGAAAAAAAAAAAAAGTAAACTTAAGCTTTAATACTCAAAAATGTTCTCTTTTTGTCTGGTCATTTTTGCCTAAGACGTAGAAAATAGATTCAACTGAGGGATGACCTCATATTCACTTCCTCACCAAGTGTGTGCCTTCTTCTCCTGCAGGCTGTTCTGTGTACCATTACAGACTATGTCACTACCAATGAATGGAGTCACCCTTCTTCACCTTGATAGGCTTGAACTTCAGGTTTTACATTCTTTCCAGCATTACTTTCTATCCTTGTGGACACCCTGCTTATTATGGATTGAATTGTGTTCCCCCAAAGTTTAATGTGTTGGAGGCTTGGTCCCCATTGTGACAGTTTTAAGAGGGTGGGGAATTCTACTATGGTAGCAGAAAGGTGTGGCCTTGAGGAGGTGATTGGATTGTACTCCTGTGAATGAATTGATCTATTGGAATAATGGGCATGGTTCTGAGGACTTTAAAAAGAAGAGTGAATGAGGAGGTTAGTCTCTCTGTCTGCCCTGCCATTCTGCCATGTGAGACCCCTGCCTCACTGTCACCAAGTACAAGGCCTTCAGCATATGTGTCCCAACACTGATGTGTCCAGTGATAAGCATGGGCCAGCAAGCAAAGTTGAACTGTTCCATTTATTTAAGAAAGAGAAAAGTTTGATTTGTTTCAAAAAGACTTTATTCAAAGTTGGTTATGCAAATACCGTTCCTGAAAGGGGGCAAGTTCTTTGTCTGGGAATCACACATCACTCGTTCATCTCACAATCTCCTGCTTGCTGAGCATTGCCACAGTAAAAAATTTGCTTTTGGACAAAACTTGTTTTGCTCATATTGGTCACCCACTCTTTGCCAAACCGGATTTCATGTGTCTTTTCATTTCTTCCCGTAATTAAAATTTCCCTTAAATGATAAAGAATGCCTTACATTCTTTTATTACTCTTAATCCTCCATTTAAGGGATAAGTACATACCTTTGAAATTTATTCAGCATAGTTTTCCTTGTTTCTGAAGTTTCGTAGACAATATTATTGTGTGTCACAATATTGACACCCTATTGTGTAACCATATTGACACACAATAATATTATAATAGATATTATATTATATAATATTATAATAGATATTATAGTGCAACAACCACCGAGCTGTCACAGGAAGCACCCCAGGCTCCTGAGCCAGGGTGGTGGGGGGCTGAGGGCTTCAGCCACACCCCTTGACATCTGCATCCAGCCCAGCAATGACCCAGCCACCACTGGAAGCCCCCTGGTCTCCCCAGCAGGAATGAGGGGAGTGCCATGGGCCTCCAACATGCCCCACTGCCTCCTCCTTCTGCCACCCTATCTCATTCCCCCTGCCCTTCTCCCCTCCCCAACTGTTCCACAACAACATCTTAGAATGTAAAAAAAATGATAATCATATTAATAAATAAGCTTTAAAAAAAGATATTATAGTAAAATATTAACATAAACGTCAAGTCTCATAGCCATTATCTACCATGTGGTTTCCCTGTCTTCTTTTTAAAGGATAATGTATGAAGTGTTTTCCAGTCTCCACTTTGTTGTGGAGTTTGTTTTTCCCAAAATCATTAAACACGATGAATGAAGATTCTTTTCATCATCATATGATTTGGTTTTGTTCATATTTTTCTTGTGTTATCTCAACTGCTGCTTAGAAGTTGCAGCTGTTAAGATGAGCATAGTACAGATGTCATGCTAGAGTTTGCACTTCCCTTTTGTGTTCTCTAATAGTGTGAAATCTTGATTTTAAAATGCCCTGGCAGTCCCCCTTTGTGTGAATGCAACCACATTAACAGGAACAGATCTTCATGAACCACGCACAAGAACTGTGTCCCTGCACATCATCCATCGACCCCACCAAAATCAGGGAATAAACTTAGGTGCAGGCACAATTTGGAAGGCTGTGGGCTATCTTCTTCAGCCCAGCTTTGGTTTCCTCTCTCAGTACACTCTTCTCTCTTCCAGGGGACTGATTTCTCTCTTTATAAATAAAGTGTTGTCCCATTTTTATGTCCCTCCTCTTTCTGAAAAAGGGCATGTCGGTTACTTTTATCCATTGTTTGAAATGTTATCTCCACCGTGCCTTTTTACTTAGTGCTTTTGATGTCTAGCTGTGAAATGAACATCTTTTCCCTACTCAGTTTAAGAAATGTTCAGCATTGGGCCGGCCCGGTGGCGCACTGGATAGTGCGCCGCTTGGGAAGTGTGGCGGCGCTCCCGCCCGAGGGTTCGGGCCCCACATACAGACCGGGTCCCGCC